TTTCCTCATCCCCCGAGCCTTCGCTGCCCCCGAGGAATCGCATGCGACGAAGTCCACGATCGAAGAACTCGAGCAGGCCATATTGATCGAGCATCTTCAAGAACGAAAGGTATACGTGGGGACGGGGTTAACCCCCAAACTCAGGAAAAAACTCATTCAATTTCTTATCGATAACATTGATCGCTTCGCCTAGTCCCATTAGATATGACAGGGATCCCACCGGAGATAACTACCCATCGACTAAGTGTCGATCCCAGATTTAAACCGGTGAAGCAAAAGAGGAGACCTCAGTCCGAGGAAAAGCATGCATTCATCAAAGAAGAGGTAACCAAACTTCTCAAGATAGGATCCACTAGGGAAGTAAAATATCCCGAATGGCTTGCTAACGTAGTGGTAGTCCCTAAAAAGGGTAATAAACTTAGAATGTGTGTGGACTACAAAGATTTGAACAAAGCATGCCCTAAAGATTCTTTCCCATTGCCCAACATTGATCATTTGATCGATGCTATGGCCAGCCATGAGATCCTTACTTTTGTCGATGCCTACTCCAGGTACAACCAAATTCAAATGAACCCGGAGGACCAGGAAAAGACTTCGTTCATCACGAAGTATGGTATGTAATGTTATAATGTAATGCCCTTCGGGCTAAAAAATGCAGGAGCCACATATCAACTCCTAGTTAATAAGATTTTCGAACATCAAATAGGCAAATCCATGGAAATTTATATTGATGACATGCTGGTTAAGTCCCTGCACGCAGAGGAGCATTTGACCCATTTGCAGGTGACGTTCGATATCCTAAGAAAGTACAATATGAAGCTCAACCCCAAGAAATGCGCTTTTGGAGTCGGCTCGGGCAAGTACTTGGGCTTCATGGTGTCGAACAGGGGTATCGAGATCAACCCCGATAAAATCAAAGCCATCGAGGAAATCACCATAGTGAACAATGTGAAAGTCGTGCAGCGGCTGATCGGACGGATAGCTGCCCTAGGCCAATTTATCTCGAGGTCATCAGATCGGAGCCATCATTTCTTTTCCCTACTCAAGAAGAAGAACAATTTTGCATGGACTCCGGAGTGCCAACAAGCCTTGGAAGAATTAAAACGGTATCTCTCGAGCCCACCCCTGCTCCATACTCCGAAGGAGGATGAAACACTCTACTTGTATTTAGCCATGTCCGAGGTGGCGGTAAGTGGCGTGTTGGTTCAAAAAAAGCAAAGGTACGCAATTTCATGTCTATTATGTGAGCCGGACCCTAGGAGATGTTGAAACCAGGTGCCCACATTTGGAAAAGTTAGCTCTTGCATTAATAAGCACATCTAGGAAATTAAAACCATATTTTCAATGCCATCCTATATGTGTATTAACTACGTACCCACTTCAAAGTGTCTTGCATAAGCCCGAAATATCGGGCAGATTGGCCAAATGGGACATCAAACTTGGAGGGTATGATATCGAATATCAGCCTCGAACGACTATCAAGTCTCATATTTTGGCAGACTTCGTGACCGATTTCGCACCTTCCCTCGTACCCGAAGTAGAAAAGGAACTCTTGCTAAAAACGGGTATGTCATCGAGGGTATGGACCCTCTTCACAGACGGTGCCTGAAATGTGAAAGGATCCAGGCTCGACATCATTTTAAAACCGCCCACGGGCAGTGTCATTAGGCAATCTATCAAAACTTCTAAATTGACTAACAATGAGGTCGAGTATGAGTCCATGATTGCAGGTCTCGAACTAGCCTAGGGCCTTGGAGCAGAGGTCATCAAGGCAAAGTGTGACTCCCTTTTGGTAGACAAACTTCAAGTGACATTGCACCGCTTCAAGGAATGAACACTGGACCATGTACCTCGAGAACAGGATAGCGAGGCTGATGCACTTGCAAACTTGGGGTCACCGGTCGAAGAAGATGATATTGTCCCGGGGGCTGTCGTCCAACTATCGAGGTCGGTGGTCGAAGAAGGCCATGCATAAATTAATTTAACAAGTTTAACGCGGGATTGGAGGAATTAGTACATCGACTACTTGAAGCATAGGAAGCTCCCCACGGACTCAAAAGAGTCGAGAACACTTCGAGCCAAAGCAGCTCGATTCTCACTCGATGAAAATGGAACGTTGTATAGAAGAACCTTCGATGGACCACTGGAAGTGTGCTTGGGACCCGGGGACACCGATTATGTATTACGAGAAATCCACGAGGGCACTTGTGGGAACCATTCTGGTGTCGACTCTTTGGTTTGCAAGGTGATCAGAGGGGTATTATTGGGATATCATAGAAAAGGATACCAAGGAGTTCGTTCGAAGGTGTGATAAATGCCAAAGATTTGCACCGATGATCCATCAACCCGGTGAACAACTCCATTCGGTCCTATCCCCATGTCCATTCATGAAATGGGGGATGGACATCGTCGGCCCCCTACCAACGGCGCCAGGTAAAGCTAAATTTGTTTTGTTTATGACTAACTACTTCTCAAAATGGGTAGAAGCGCAGGCCTTTGAGAAGACAAGAGAAAAAGAAGTCATCGACTTCATATGGGACCACATCATATGTCGGTTCGGGATACCTACCGAAATAGCATGTGACAATGGGAAACAATTCATCGGCAGCAAAGTAACAAAATTCCTCGAGGACCATAAAATCAAAAGGATTCTATCAGTGCCTTACCACCCAAGTGCAAATGGTCAGGCCGAGTCCATAAACAAAACCATCATTCGAAACTTAAAGAAAAGGTTAGATGACGCAAAGGGGAAATGGAGAGAAGTATTGCCCGAGGTGCTATGGGCATATCGAACGACGTCAAAGTAGAGCATGGAGGAGACCCCGTTTTCTTTGGCATACGGGTCCGAAGCATTGATCCCAGTCGAAGTCGAGGACCCTAGCATCAGGTTTCAGCATGCCACCGAGGACTCAAATCATGAAGCTATGAACACTTCTCTCGAACTACTAGATGAAAAACGTGAGGCCGCATTAATTCGAATTGCCGTGCAAAAAAAAGGATCGAAAGGTATTACAACAGAAGGACGGACCTTCGATATTTTGGAGTCGGGGACTTAGTCCTAAGGAAAGTCACTCTCAACACTCAAGACCCAAACGAAGGAAAACTAGGCCCTAATTGGGAAGGACCGTACCATGTCCTCGGAGTCGTAGGGAAAGGATCCTACAAACTTAGCACAATGGAAGGCGAGCAACTACCAAACAGTTGGAATGTATCGTTGCTCAAACGCTATTACTGCTGAGGTATGACCTTCTCCCCTTTTCCATTTGTATTTAAAACTAACTCCTTGCAGGTGTTCGATTGGAAACATCGAGGCACATTTCAGCTCGAAGACCTTGGGTTTTAAAGCATGCGTTGCACTCTTTTTCTCTTAGATCGGGTTTTATCCCAAATGGGTTTTACCGGCAAGGTTTTTAACGAGGCAACACCTATATGCTACCTAAGGAATATTCAACAAGTATTCAAGGCTTCTTTTCAATCAATCTCGAACACTGGGGGCATCACCCGCGGAGGATGCATTCTCGAAGAAAGCAATTCATGCCAAGGAGGGCCTCGATAGGGGAATGTTGTAATGGGCCAAACGGTCAAATGAACCGTGTCCATGTAGAATAGTCGAGACCCCAGCGGGAAAACATGTACGCATGTATCAATTATTTGAAAAAAGCATTCTTATTATATCAAAACACTTTGTGCCTCAAAGAAGTCTACTATTTTCACATTTAACGGCTCAAGGGCCAAAACTCCGAATGCACCAGAATACTCGGCGACTTTCATCGACAATCGACAAATCGAGTCATCGAGCACTCAAAGTTATAGGACCTCAAAGAGGCACACTCGAACTTATAAGACCTCAAAGAGGCACACTCGAACTTATAAGACCTCAAAGAAGCACACTCGAACTTATAAGACCTCAAAGAGGCACACTCGAACTTATAAGACCTCAAAGAGGCACACTCAAGCTCACAAGACCTCAAAGAGGCATCCCCTCGATATTAAGGCCAAGGCCATTACACTGGGGGACTTAAGGCTACGGCCATATCTACGGTCATATGAAAAGGCTACGGACGAAATAATGCGGCTCGGAGACGTCCGACTTTCGCCATAAAACTAAAAGGCCTTCATATACTTTGAAAAAACCGGTTAAATCAGGCTACCCTCGGCAAAAGCAAATTATAAGGGGCTTCGATATAATCAGCTCTCGAATAATGCGAAGGCTTCAATAACATCAACCTTCAAAAAAACCTCAAGAGGTATTCAATTAACGTTGCATATGAAATTACAAACGAGGTTCCAATCAATCGAACCTTCGGAAAACCCAAACGGGTACAAAAAACACATGCTAAGGCATACAAAATTTTCACACTGTCTTTTAGCCGAAAAGAGGGAAAAATTATAGCCATTTTGGAGGCCGAATCGCCCCAACTTAAAGAGCCTAAGGTCCAATATAAAAAAAACCTAAGGGCTAACTTTATTTCGAGTTCGAGCAAGTACTCACTCGACCATCAAGCCCAAGGGCTACCCGAGTTTGAGAAAATTCTCACTCGAGGACTATCCACGAAGCCTAAGGGCTAACTTTATTTCGAGTTCGAGTAAGTACCCACTCGACCACTAAGCCCAAGGGCTATCCGAGCTCGAGAAAATTCTAACTCGGGGACTATCCACGAAGTCTAAGGGATAACTTTGTGTCAGATCCAAGACCTCGTTCTCATTCAACTCTGGCCCAAGGGTTGCGTCATTACAAGATCGATCTAAGCTCGAGAATTACCTAAGACCTCAAGAGGCATCATGTTAATCAGTAAAGAACCTAAGGGTTCATTGTGTTCTAAGTTCGAACCAACACTCAGGCTGATAATTTGGGTTGTACAAGCGAATTTTCTATAAATAAAGGAAAATGAGATTCGTCACAAACCAAGGTCGAAACAAAAGTTCCTCTGTATTCACAAAGCACATTTACAAAACTCCCCCATGGAGCCCTTACATAAATTAAAGATTTTAAAGAGGACCTAGTCTATTATCGGGGTCACTCGCTCGGAGGCAACATCCATCGGAACTACAACTTCAGTGGTCTGACCTTCGGCAACCTGATATTCGGGGGCCTCTTCCTCCTCGGGGACTTCGTCTTCGTCCTCCCCACTCTCGGAGTCGCTGACAGAATCTTCATCAGTAGAGAGCAATGCAGCTGCCTCTTTTTCCAAAGCCTTCACCTTCTCAATTTCTGTAGAGAGGTCAAAGCCTTTGGCATGCACTTCCTCGAGAGTTTTCTTTCGAGATTCCAGCCGAGCATTATTGACGGTGCAGGATAACTTAAGCTCAGTTGTAGCTAATATCTCTCTAACCCGAGCATTGGCAGCTGCAGCATCGGTTCGATATGAAGACATGAACGCATCGGCTTCGGACTTAACATTAGACAACTCAGCGGCCATCTCAGTATGAAGTTCCATAAATTTATGACCCTCCTCCTTTGCACTCCGAAGCTGGCTTTCGGTCGAGGCTAGCTGTTCCTGAAGACTGTCTTTTTCGGAGGCCAAGCGATCCATACTTTGCTTCCACCCAAGGGTTACAGCCTCTTTGGTCTTAAGCTCCTCCTGAAGTTGCTCCACCAGGTCGGCCTTCTCCTAGAACTGCAAAGGTGGAACATTAGACGCCAAAACAAACAAGTACAAAATGCACCCACAAAGGCTATATTACCTTTTCAATGAGCTCGGACCGCTCTTGGGAAGCTTTCGTCGAACTTGCTCGAAGATCATTCAGTTCACCCTCTCTTTTGGCATAGAGATCCTTGAGTCCGTCTATCTCTGACATAAGGTTCTTGAGCTCGTCTTCACATCGGGCAAGCTCAACTCGACACTTGGAAAAAGCTTGATGGAAGAGCATCGCAGACTAAACACAAAGGAAGGAGGTCGGAAAAGCAAGAACCTAACTCTAAATGTAGTTATCAAGTTAAAGTTTACCCGCTTTTGAAGCTTCTCTGCCTCTTCAAGGATGAACGAGGCATCAAGGTCGGGGCCCTTCTCGATCCCGGCAAGGCATTCGCCGAAAATGTCATTTTCCCCATGGGATGTTCCCACATCAGGAGTCTTCATATCTTGGGAATCCTGTATTTGCCCCTCAAAAAATGATGGGCCTGGTGGAGAGTCATTCACGTCAATCACCCCGAGCGGCTCAACGGGGACTTCTCCCGCCTTCGAGGAACCTCAGGGCTGGGTTCTCTGAGTTCATCGACTAAGTGCCCTTCAGGACGGGGCGCTTTCTTGCCACTAGTCGGTTCAAGAAACTTGCTCGAGCTCCCCCCAGGAAATTCCTCAGCTTGAGGTTGAACTGCTTCGGTGGCCTCCGGCTCAGCAGCCTTTGAAGGATCGATGCCTCCTCCTCCTCGAGTTATTAACGGGCGAGCATCTTCGTCCACAGCCTCATCTCTCTCTTCGTCCTCAGCACGAAGACGTGCAACAGTTTTCGGAGTCAAGGCCACCGTATCTGCCCTAGGTTCTCGAAGCTTGGCCTTTTTTGGCTTCGGGGACTCCGCTGGCAACCCTTTCCTTCTTTTCTTGTCCTTGGCAGGTTTGTGGGTCTCTCCCTCGCCAGGTGGGGGCGGCCTCATCGAAACAACATCTTCGAGGCCTGCACAAGCATAATGTTAAGTGTATTGCTGAGGAGTATTTCACTAAGGGATTTAAATATGCAAATAATAAGGACTCATCGTGGTTTTTGGCCTCCCATCGGCCTTTGGCCAAATCGCGCCAGACGCGCTCGGCATATGTGGAAGTGGAAGCTAGTTGCTGAACCCAGCCCGGGAGGTCCACAACCGCACCTGGATACCAATCAACGGCTGCTTCATCAAAAGGGAGTTAGTTCAAAGGAAAGGGAAAATGTCTAAGTAATGAAACATGCTCGATAGGTCTGTACTTACGCTTCGTATTCCATTCCTCGGGGAACGACATCTTTTCTGTGGGAATCAGGTCGGAGGTCCTGACTTGAACGAAGCAGCTAATCCACCATCGGTCTTTATCCTGATCGATGCTAGCGATGAAAGACTTCGGAGATCGATGTTGCAATTTTATCAAACCACCTCGATAGAGACGAGGGCTGTATAATCTGACCAGATGGTCGAGGGTAAAAGACATCCCCTCGACTTTGCTCGAAAAGTACCTAATTAGGTGAACAATCCGCCAGAAGGAAGGATAAATTTTGCTGAGTGTCACTTGGTATTGTCGATAGAAATCGAGGATCACTAGGTCTGGAAAGGGCAAAGAAGGATCTACGGGACCTAAGGTAAATGGGTATGTGTATACACTTAGGTACCCCGCTTTGTGAGTAGTAATATCCTCATCAGGTGAAGGGATCCCCACATGCACTTCATCTCCCCAACGGCAATCTGCCTTCACATGTTTGAGTTTGGTTATTAAGCTAATATACCGAGACATGGGTTCACATCGTCCTGGAATCGAAGCAGGCTTGTCGACCTTGAAATCGGAAGACGTATCACAAAGCCTGGGGGTACACTCCTCAATGCGAGGAGGTACCACCATTTTTTTCTTCGACAGGCGTGAAGACGATATGCCTTCTCTTTTTGTGGATCTGTCTTAGAAGTTTTTGCCATTTCTGTTGTGAAAACTGAGAAGGAGAAGGAGCTCGTTAGAAATGGGCACAAGGAAGGAATAAGTGCAGAGAGGATTTGATGATATTGTAAAAGTATATGTTTGAAGAATGAAGGATTGAAGTATTTATAGAGGTTGTCTAAGCGTGTTGGAGAAGCTAAACGGACGACCAATGGCTGTCTTTCATTAAAGGCTTTTCGAAAACTGTGTAGGCGTAACTTTTGCACTACTTTTCAGTCACACGGACCGCTGACCTCACTAAACTGACATCATGATTAGGACATCGAAGGGGCGAGAATCAGATCGTTTCTTATATTTTTATTCTAAGAAACGCGGGGACTATCTGTATACGGTGAAAATCGGAGAGCTCGATTTCGAGGATTTAACGATACCCCGGGCTCGAGTTCGAGCAGCACGAAGTAAAGACCATATCTGACTAGAAAATGCATACCTCGAGGGAGCAAATTGGAGATCCGTCATAATTTGCCTTGAGGGCAGTACAATTTCGATGACACTCAAGAAAGAGCGGGAATTTCTTAAGGACACGTGGATCGGGGCATAAATTAAGGGATAAGATTTGTACGAAATAGTACGAGTCCGTACTAGGTTGTTATACAGCTGTACCAATAGAATTCTTTACCATAATTAGAAATGTGCCATATTAGGGTTTTTCCCTTTCTATATAAAGGGGACTCCAATCATTTGTAAAGATCATCTCATTTCACTGCAATAGAAGATTCTACTATGCTTTTCTCGTTTACTGTGCTCCACAATTGTTCTTCAGCTTTATTGTTTTTACTTTATTGTTCATACTTTATTTGCTCTTAACTCACCTCGAGGCCCCCGAGATACTCGAGCTCGAGGTCCCCTTTGCTCTAACAACACTGGTTTGGTTCATCAATTCTTCTTACTTGAACCTAATATTACTTGTATATTCACTAGTATTGGAATAAATCGCATATCTTTAAAACCACAAATCACCTTTAATAGTTACTCACATTTTTCGAGGTAAACAATAATAAAAGAATTAATGCAATAAAAAGAATCAGTATGTTTTTAGATAAGAGGATTGATCAGAAAGGTGACGATCACAATAGGGCAGTTTTTTTGGCTTACACCATATATCTCGGCGTTTATCTTACACTTTTTTTTGGTAGATTCCTTTCTAGTCACGATACAAATTATTCAAATATGTCTTACATAACGTGAGAGTCCTATTTGGTAGTTAAATTCAATTATTGGTGGTAAAGGCAAATGATAATGGGGCAATGCTGCGAAACGAGCACGTTCAACACTCAATAATGTTTCGAAAGGTCAATTCAACTAAAAGATCAGAATCTCGTGTGTGTTAAGAATTTCTGAAATGGGAGGAACCAACTTTTTCAATAATGTTTATGTTTCTTCAGTTATGGTTTAATATCGTGGCCACTATAATCAACCTTGCCTTGTTATTACCTTATGAGTATATGAGAGGAAGTAATCTTTTTTAATGCCAAACGATTGATGACGAAAGCCCAGTACAGTGGACCGAAAATCCTGTACTTTTGATGTCCTTTTGCCTGCTCGCATATAGGCAAATTTTTTGTAATTGAAATTTAACTAATTCAATGGTATAAAGATTCTTTTAAATGGTATTAAAAAAAACACAATTAATTAGTTATTCATTTCAGATGGAGTAGCGCGGGGAGAAGAAGCATTCTACAAACACAACTTAGAATATAACATTAATTTTATCCTCCAGATACATATTTGGTGAGCAATTCAAGGAATTATTATTGATATTTATTCATTTTGGAATTTAGTTTATGTTAAATAGTAGTAGCCTGAAAGAATTGTGGCTTGGTATAGTTTTGAAGTGTGGCGAGGGTTGAAATCTTGACGGACACACTGATTTTATCTTATTGCTGTATTATTAAATTTGTGAAATGAAATGGAATTTGAAAGCTAAGAACAGAGGAGAGAAAATTGGGGAAGAAAGGAGTTCTTCATTTCTGTTAATAGTCCACTGTACAATGAAATGGCTATTTATATACACGTATAACTTCTCTAACTGACTATTAACTACAATTAGCTAAACTATGGTTAAGCTAAAATAACTATGGTTAAGTTAAGTTACTTCACTAACCATATTACTTGTATTACTAGTATTACTATTACTACTCTCAACACCCCCCTCCCCCCCAAGCTAGAGGAGGTGAAGATATTCTTCATCCCTAGCATGGATAACAAGTAGCCATGCTGCATTCTGCTCAAGCCTTTGGTGAGGATATCAGCTTGTTGATCAGCGGTGTTGAGGTAGACGGTGTGAATCAATCCTGACTGAATCTTTTCACGCACAAAATGACAATCGATGTCTATGTGTTTGGTTCGTTCGTGAAAGACTGGATTGGTAGCAATTTGAATTGCTGATTTGCTATCACAGTAAATAGGAACTGGAGTTTGTTGAACAACCCCTAACTCTTTAAACAAACCAACAAGCCAAACAATCTCAGCCACAGTAGAAGCAAGACTCATGTACTCTGCCTCAGCAGAACTTCTGGAAACTGTTGATTGTTTTTTGGATTTCCATGAAATGAGGGAATCACCAAACTTCACCAAATAACCTGTTATAGATCTTCTACTGTTGGGACATGCTGCCCAATCAGCATCACAGAAGGATGCTAGGGAACCAGAACAATTAGCTTTCATCAACACTCCTAGGCCGCGACAATGTTTAACATACCTCACAACTCTGAGGGCAGCTTCCATGTGAGAAGATTTGGGACTGTGCATGAACTGACTTAAGGTTTGAACGGCAAATGAGATGTCAGGTCTGGTGATTGTCAAGTACAGTAACCTTCCAAGTAACCTTTGGTATGGACCAGGATCCTCTAGTAAAGAGTCATCAGTTGTAGAACCTGTGTGTGTATCAAACTCTAATGTGGTCAACTTGGCATTCAACTCCAAGGGTGACATAACAGGGTTACAACCTGATAAACCCAAGTCAGCAATCAACTCCAAGCTATACTTTCTCTGATGCATCAAGATACCCTCTTTACTTCTGGCAAATTCAATTCCCAGGAAATATTTTAGTTCTCCCAAATCTTTAATCTTGAAGCTATGTTGTAACTGTGATCTAGTCTCTTGTATTAGCTGCAGATTATCTCCAGTGATAATAAGATCATCTACATACACAAGGACCACCACCAGCTGCCCTGAAATTCTTTTGGTGAACAAGGAGTAATCCAGGTGACTCTGTTGGAATCCTGAGGCAAGTAGTGCTGTAGTAAGTTTGATATTCCATTGAAGAGATGCCTGCTTAAGTCCATAGAGGGACTTATGCAATTTGCATACCGATGACTTATTGTTAGTGCCTACAAAGCCAGGTGGAATGCACATGAACACTTCTTCAGTTAAATCACCTTGTAGAAAAGCATTGTACACATCCATTTGGTGGATGGTCCAATGCTTGGCAGCAGCCAAGGCAATTACACTTCTGATAGTTACCA